GGAAATTAAAATGGCAGGAAGCAACTTCTTGCTTCCCTGCAGTTGTGGCATTTGTATTATGCTTGTTTTCAGATTGTCTCCAAATGCCAAAAATGGAGTAAGACAGACCAAACTCAAAACACTTGTGACTTCATAACACCTCGGAGTACAGGCCATGAAAGTTGTGCCTGCTTAATCCACACTGCATTATGATGTTTCATGTAGTGCTTCAATGTTCCTTGCTATTTGAGAGAACTAGACTTAAAGTGCCAGGAAGCCTGATCGAAAATATGTACAATAAACTTCCCAGGGCAGTTTGTGAAAAAGACAGTGTAGTTCAAGTAGCATCACACATGTTTAAAATTGCAACAGACACTTTGAAACCATGTGTTGTGTAATGATCAGTGTGCTAAATCATGTGTCAAAGTTGAGGGATCTGGTTTCTCTGAAAAGTGCTAATGTTTTTTGATGCTGAATAGAAGCTGTGTTTAAAAGAAATGATCAGAAAGCAGAAGTCAGTTTATGAGAGCATTAGTGCTTCAGATGTGGTTTATCTACTTAGCAGCAAATCCAGCCTGCAGCAAACATATTTTGGACATAAGAAACAAATCATCCTATCTGTGCATGAACCTCACATAATAATTTGCCTTGGTAGTAAAAGTAACCAGTGATTAAGTTGCTGCAAGAGTGAAGTTGGTAAAAAGCAATGTGTCAGAGAGAACACATTGTTTAATGGTTGGTGCCCTTCTGTTGCAAATGAAGGCTTACTACCGCTTCTTGGCTAAATCTGAAACGCATTAGTCATTTCAGTGATTTGAACTTCATCCAAGACTTTCTTAGAACTGTTCTTAGTAGTCTGTCTGCACTGTCTTGCACTTCGAGTTGCCCCAGAATGTCCCCGCAAATCTATTGCACCTGACATACTTGGTGTCTGTAAACCCAATCAGTATTTTGGTCTGGTAGTTCACTAAGAAGCTGTCTATACTATGATGAGCTGGACCAATTGCTCTCTGTTTCCCTAAGCAGAAAGTCAATTTCTGTTCTGAAAAATGGGAGCTACTAAAACTCAACTAGGAACAGAAAGGCAAGTAGAGCTGGAACAGTAATTAGCAGTTTTGGGACCAGAGGGAGTTAAGCAGCTTTCAGCCAAGACAACCCCAAACTGGGATTCTTTGACCTCTGTAGGAATAAAAAGGAAGGACAGACTGGAGAGGCCAACAGAGAGAAGCCAGCCACACAGCAACCCAGAGACCATTGTCTTTAGTCTTACCATAGGGCCATTAACAGGTCCAGATTTTGCCTAGTACTGAGAAATCACTTAAATAAAGCATAAAATATTCCCTGAGCTAAACTGAGATTTTTCACATAAAGCTTTAGTTGAGGGTAGAACCTCAATTTTCTTTATTTTACTTTTCGTCCCTAGCAAGTGTGACTCAGGACAGACTCTAAGTAGAGAAACCACATCTTCAATTATGTAAAAAACGGTTTACAGTATCAAATGGAGCATAATGCAGGCATTAGTGATAGAAATCCAGCAATTCTTGCAAGTGAAGTTGCAGGATGCACCAGCATAGGTATACTGATCCATCTGGTTTTGGGTTTTTTAAACTTACTTGGGAATTCAGAGGAAATTTGGGCTGAAAGCCCAGTGTATAACTAAAGTCTACTGGGTGACCTGAGATCACTTTAAGCCCCAAGCACTTGCAAAGTGCACAGGTCTCACTGCAGCTTGCAATGGACAGAGTTCCTGCAACATCACTTAGCATCCTGTTCCTATTAGCCCAGATTTCAATCCCTGCCAGCACAGTTTGTAGCAGAAATTTCAAGACAGTGTGTTAGAGAATGAACTCCTAGTGGGTTTTTTGAAAATGCACATATTTCCTCAGTCTTCATTGTCACCAAAGCTTAAAAAAGGTCCGTAAACACAGGTAGATATTATCCTACCAAGGGCCTACTTCTTAGCTAAGCTCAGCTCTTCCAGTGCCATCTCAGCCTCAAAATATGTCAGCATTATAAGCTAGTAAGAGTTCATTAGTCTAGCGTCTCTTTTCTTTTACCTCACAACGTCCCACTCAAGAAAACAGATGGAAGCTCTGAAACTTGAATTGTTTGAGTGTCTTAGGAATTTTAGAAGACTTCAGCAGTACCAATACCCCAGCAACGGCTCATCTGTCTGTCACTACAGTCCTTGCAACTGGCAGCGTTAAACTGTTGTAAACCACAAAGCTTTGGTCATTTGAAGGTCAGTTTACAGGGAGATGTTTAAGAACAACCCATTTCTGGCTTGATGGGATTTTACTGATTTGTGTGTCCTTATTTGGGTTCGAGCATGTCCCTTATGCAACTGCTTAAAGGCTACCCCAGAAAGCATGGTGATACAGTGCTGGCACTCTGTTCCAATATTGACATTCAGCATGAGGAAATGCTGTAGTTATTAAAACCTGCTGTATCCACTTGTAATCTGTGTGATGTTCTTAACAAAGCCAAGCTGCCTTCCTCAGATGCCAGGTTTGCCCTACTGTACATCTCACGTCACAAAATATGCTCTGAGGATTCAAAATGAAAGCTGGATTAATGTCAGCAGTTAGAACAGGTCTGGAGAGTCTGTGTCTTACCATCTGTTAGAATAAAAATCCTAGACAGAAATATGGTGTATAACAAATAAGAAGGAAATGTTGCTAAGTTGGTGGGCTGTGAGCACTTCAGTGTAGGCATCTGGAAAGGAACAGGGTCTTTCCCAACACATAACAAAAACAATTCAGAGTAATGCTACTTCATACTGCACTGTGAGCCACAGGATATGTCCTTATGAGTCCTAGCACCTCATACGAGAGGTGTGCACATCTGGTTGCAGTAGTGAGAGGATGGCTTCCTGCTGTAGCTGTTCACATCCACACTTAGATAACCCAGATGCCAGAGAGCACTTGAATTAAATTCACCAGGGGGGCATTTGCTGATACACTCTGTGAAAACATGAGACTCTTAAGATTTACTCTCCACACTTGAAAAACCTATCATATGACCTTTGTTTAAGCAATAGGACACACACAGTCCAAGTCAGTGTTTAGTATGAGGATCTGTGTTCAGGCACCAAAACAAAGTCAGTAGCCAAAAGCTAAGCTGAAGGTCAGGGGAAGGGCTAGCAACAACAGGCTTCAGTTGTCAGCCAGCCCAGGAGCAACTGCAAGTTCTGGCTGCTCTCTCCAGCCAGTAAACCGGAGCTGCTTTAGCATGACCCAAAGCGGTTGCTTATTTAGTCATTACTGCCCGGCCTCACTGGCAGGGAGGTCTGATCCAAACCTAGGATCCAGAAACATGCTCTCCATTTTTATTTGAGAAAATAAACAGAGCTAGAATTTCAAACTGTGGGTATTAAATGCCCGTGAAGAGCTTACACGGTACAGGTCATTCTCCCTTCTCGTCTTGAAATATTCCACATGAAAATCTGGCAGACCATATCTAAGTAACAAACACATTTGTCCCACTGTGAGATCTATTTTGAGGCGATACTTAACCAAAGAAGGGCTCAGCCTGAGGAAAACAGTTTTTTCCAGTCACTTGTAACTTGCAGAAGCAATTTCCAAACATGCTTAATGTTGAACAAAATCTGCTATTAAAGCGAATGTCTAAATTCATGGGCATCAACAGAAGCCAATTAAGAGCAGACAGAAAACACATTTGACAGTCTCTCCCACATAATTCCCTGTGTTGGAAACAGCATGGGAAGATTAATATCTAATGAAGTTAATATGAAGAAATACAGAAAGCGACCACCCCTTTAGCTTCTTGCATTTGTGTAAATTTCTTCTTGCAAATGGTAATCCTTTCAAATGTCATGTCAGTTTTGTAATTTTATTTTTTTTTTAAATGACAAGAGACTTTAATGGCCATTACTAATATCTTTCGGTATGCAAAGCATGACCATGATACAGTGCAGGAAAACTTCACTGTTCAGAGAGTAAAATGACTAAATGCAAGCTTCAAAAACCTTTTCCACTTGTGTACAGATTTGTATGAATGAATTTCTTTAGAAGAGACTGCCACGGTCCGTGGGGGAGGGGTGTAGAGCCGAGACACTACACCAAAGAGCCGCGACGGAGGTTTGACGTGCAATGGCTACTTTATTGAAAGTGTGCGGGGTTATATAAGCTCTGGCGTGGAATGCACCAGAAAATGGGGTGGAGAACGAGACAGACAATCAGGGAACAAATAGGAGTAGGGACTCAGGAGAAGGGGGAGGAACTGGGGAGGAACTGGGAGCGGAAAGGTCCAATGGTAGCTCTCCCCACACTGCAGCTTTCTCAGCCAATCAGAGGGAGGAGCAGGGAAGCAGGGAGCAGAGAACTCGTGGCATGACTGGGCATTTAGAACTGTAGGGGAATCATACAATGCACATATTTAAAACCACATAATAACTGTAAAGTCCATATAATAAAGTCCTTTCAATTGCTGTATATCTTTTTCCACGCCTGGAACCGTTCCCATTCTTATTCCTGCTCCTCCACAAGAGACTTGCAGATTGTGGACAGTATTATTATGTTCTGCGTGAGTGAAAATTGAGTGATGATACCAATCCCATCACAGTGAAACTTCTTTGGAAAGCTAAAGTAATTTGATTGGCTTAAACTGGAAGCATTCCAGATTTGTCTTAATATATCTGAGAACAGAACTCAGCATCTATCTTTTCTTTAATCAGGGAAGTAGCTCTCTCTCTTATAGGAAGTCTCAGTGAAGCTGATGGAATATCTATTTCTTATGTGTGGCACAACTGATTTGTTAGGTTTGCACAAATTACAGATGCCAATGAGTTTTGTCATGTACCAAACCACAAGTTTTAGTAAATATTTCAAGAATTTTTGCACTTCTGATATGATATTTTGATGTGCTGACAAAATAAGTATCACAACTTTTATAAAAATTGCAATTCATAGGAAATTGAAAAATAAATTTGTTGCAATTCTAAATTAATGCCAGTAACACAACTTTTACATTTATTATAAAGCATAAGTACTCACTTTTTATCAGCTTTATTCATTAGAGCAAGAATGGATTAATTTAAAGTAGGAGATCCCAAGTTTTCTAGAAGGTTGTGTATGGATTTACTTGTAGCTCTAGAAATCCCCAATGGAATGGAACTGAAAATAATTATACAAAATTTAGCTTCTTCAGAAAAGGTATAGTTAGAATGTCATATGTCTTCAGGACAGTTATGTGAATAACAATTTTAATAACAAAGACATTCATTCTTTGCTTACTTTCCCTGCACTCCTTACTTCACTGCACCTTCTCACATCCTGCTCTGAGGCTCCTGACTCTTTCAGGTAGCCAGGGAAAGCTGCTTGTGGGCCCACACTGTAAATCAAGCTCCTGCGAAGTTATCTCAATTAAAAAAAATAAAAATTGATAATTGCTTAACAAGGAAAGAAAACCCCAGAATTCCCACAGATGTGTGGCTGCTTTCATAGAATTGTAGAATATTCTGAGCTAATCTCAGGATTTCTCTTTCAAAAATGCTTTTTAAAGAAGACACTGGAAATTCTAGATAAAGTTCCAATTTTCCCTTTCTCTTTAATTTTATTTTATAGTTTCATTTTTTCTTTTTCCTTTCCTCTTCTTTTTGATAGACCAGATCAAGAGGTAAAGCAGGCCCTCATACATATGCTGAGACTGGAACACAGTCATATGGTAAGAACATGGTTTTTATCCATTGGGATTCCTGGTTCCTTTGCTGCAGAATATGACAACTTTGTAGTAAAAAAAGGTTCACAAAGAAGGGACAAGCTCACAGGAAAGGAAGCCAAGTACTCTCCTAGATGACCTTAATTCCATCACAGCACACTTTCCTGTATGGAGATTGGCAAAACATCCATATCGTAATTAATTTCAACAAAGATGGCATATTAGCTTGTAAGATATACATTCTTTGGGACTTCTCATAGGTATGGAGTCCAAACACAAACATACAGAAGATGGAAATCTAAGACTTTCATATATCATCTTTCCATATTTTGTCTGTTATTTTGGCAAGTATAGTGAGATTTTACTTCCTGGAAGTTCTTTTCCATGTCTGCAGTATGGAAGTATTCAGAAAACCACAGTCTAGCTAACAAATATGTTATACATTTCCAGTGTATTCTCTGTTGTTTGGCTACTAAACCTGCCATAACAAATTTAATTCTGTTGAGTAGTGTGACCCTAGTTCTCTCCAACAAATACGATTCCATTCAGCACAGGCAGGCTTCACAGTCTCATTTTGATGATTTTCTAGGCAATTTGCTAAGGTACTGTATTATTCAGAGAAATGGAAAAATTCTTGCTTTTTCATTTACTTGTCAATACATTTTTCACCATCCAAATATAAACATGGGATTTATTTATACTTTGTGTTAATACAATTAAATTTGTTAGTCTCTACTTTCTTGACTTATTTGCATAAAGTATCATTCTTTAGCTCTCCCTTCTTGCTAGAAACCAATCTGTTATACAGCAAAAATCTTCCTTGGCAGTTCTGCTTTCTGTTACATGCAAGAGATGATTTTGGTTGTTTTCTTGCTGATTTTTCTGGTAAAAAATATTTTTTCTGTCTCATACTATTTTACTGTTAGTATCTTAAAAATTATCTTTCAGAATACTCAGTCTGTAAGTATTTATGGGGAAGAGACAGTTGCTTCTATGAATTTTTTTCTTTGCTGTTTTAAACACGCACAACTGATTGCTTATTCTTAGGATATGGAAAGAGCTGATGACAAGGAATTTCCCCAGTGTAGGGAATTTTTTCTTGTTTCGTCAGACTTGCAGCACAGCCAAATTGATATAAATTCATTTGAGACAATGAATGACATATTGCTAATTTGCATGGTGATAATCTAATGCATTTTAGTTTAATTGTTTTGTAACATGTGGAAGGTTGGTACGTATGTGTAATTTTGATCAATTCATGTGTCTCATGTTAAATACCTAAGGAAGAGGGATTCAGGAATAAATTTAGAGGCATCAAAAACTGTAGCCCTAAAGTTTTCTGTAGTGGTAAATATAGGTGAAGGGTGATGGCCTTACAAGATTCTTTTCTACACAATAGGTATTTCTTCTGCATCAGCATCAACAGGTCTCTGCTTTGCTTTATGGTTGGTAAATTCAATCCTTATCTAAAGGCTTTTTAGGAGGCCTCCATATCTGAAAAAACCCAGACAATAATGATAATTTATATACAATGGAAAACTAAAAGGAAAAAAGCTCCCAACACTTCAATAGAAAGATTATTAATGAATTCATTTAATCTGTTATACATATTGCTGTGCACATGGTTTTAATCAAATCTGTTTTTTTCCTTACCATTTCACACATAAGATGAAAAAAAAAGGCTAACTAACTTGACATTTGCAGGACAGAATTAGTATTTTCTGAAGTTAGCTTTGTTCTTTTTGGATATTGTTTTCCATTCTGTCAATAAAGAAAGAAACCTCAATAGACTTGAACAATACTTTGCAATCTGTCTGCTGTGGCCTGTGCCAGCATACTAACTTTTCTGCTTTTTTAAGGAGCATAGATTCACTAAAAGCAATTATAACCACATGAGGACATTCAAGACAGGCAAAAAAGAGAATGAATTAAAAATGAAAGAACCTGGAAAAGAGTCTGGCACAAACATCAGTGGGAAGAGCAACTAGTGTTTTGTAGGAATGAAACTAAACAAATATTATTCACATCACTTAGTGATGGAAGGAGAGTAAGAGGCATTGCGATACAGATGATATGGAAAGGAGTCCCACCAAATGGCCGTTCCTGGATGAAGCCAGCAGCAAACACAATTGCGTGGTGGTGTGCTGTGCTCAGACAGTTTGTCACCCTTATTACACATATATTTTTTGTTCTCTTTAGTTACAAACCAGGATGACTCAGCACACCTAACCTTTCTGATTTGTTTTAGGCATTTGCTGCTTCTTGGGAGGTGAGTTTGACCATATGTCCAAAGCTATACAGGTGGCATGGGCGGAAGCAGAAACCTGGACACAGATGAGGAAATGTGGTGCGGAAACATAGGGCTGCCCTCCTTTTTGAGGTTGATGGTGGTCTACGCAACAGCTGGGCCCTTCCAAAGAGGGAAGCTTGAACATTTCCAGTATCTGGGGATGGACTGGAAATATTCCAGTGCCTGCTACAATTGTAAAAAGGGAAACACTATGAGAAAGATATGTGTCCTAAGAAAATCAGAAAGCCCAGAAAGCCCAAGTAACTTATGCTCTAAGTGATCCTGGGATCCACAGGCTGGACATTGCTTTGCCTTCCTTACCCAAAGATGAGAAAATGCCTACACAAACCAAGTGTCTGCAAGGCAGTGTCTTTAGCCATTCCCCTCATGACAACTGCTAGAGGTAACAATCCTTTCTCACCCTCTCCAGAGAATGTGCCGTTTGTGACAGCATTCAAGAAGTCTGAGCATTATTGAATACTCTCCTGCCCATGAGAAGGTTCTAACTTTCCATCAAGGGAAAGGCTCTAAACCACAGAGGAGAACTCACACTAGTTCCTGCTTACCCTGCTCATGAATATTTCATTCCTAAACTGAAAAGTTAAAATGTTGCCAGGGAAGTGATATGTTGCATTCCCCTCATTAGTTCCTCCCCAAAAAAATGAATTACAGGAACATGGGAGATGTGGCATCACCTTTTTTCAGCAAGGGAAAGGAACGAGACCCAGATGGACACCTGTGCCACAGTGGTGCTGGGAAGGGAGTCTAGCATGGAGAGAGAAGGAACATTTAAAGTATTCTCCTACTTGCCACATTTCATAGTAGTTGCGATGCGCACATCCGTGTGGAACAAACTGGCTTCTCCAAATTCCCTACAGATCTCCCGTATTCCCTTTGTAGCTATAGACCAGTGGAGCCTGGGAGCTTCACTTCAGGCTGTTAGCTGTGAGCAGCAGGAGCTGTCAGCATAAAAAAAAGTGATAGGCAGCATACAGACCAAATAGATTTGGAGATCCAATCTTTTATTTTATTAAGGTTTAGTTACAGATCTGTAAGATAACTATTTTTTTAATTCTCAGACTGATCAGTGGAAGTATATCTTGTTAAAGACAATGAGAAACAGAAAGGAAGCCTTACATTTATGGAAATACTTATGCTTGTACAGATCTTTTTCTAAATGGAATTGTGCTTGCAGTACTAGGAAGACAACAATAGCTTTTATGGCAGCTGGAAATTCATCAAATAGCACTTAGGACTTTTAGAATAAGTAAAAGTTCTCCTTAGACACTACAGATAAAAGCCTAGCTCCTGGAATTCAGTGGGAGTTTCATCATCCATTTTAGTGGAGTCTGTATTTCAACACACAAGTATGAAGTCATAGAAATCAGAGATGGAAAAAGCTGCTTAATCATTCAGACCAGACCCAAGACCTTTCTTCGTTCCTTTTTATTTTTATCCTTAAGGACTTCTTTGGTATCTGACAAGCTTTTGGAGGCTCTTTTTTTTCCGAGGTATTCTTTCTTTCCTAAACATCTCAAACCTCTGTTTTTTCTGGGCAACTGAAGAGTAGGGCGAGCTGCTTTGAACACTTGATGTTCCTTACTGGTGAGTTCATCCCCCTTCTCCCTTCTATTCCTTGCCAGCACCCACACCATCTCATGTTTCCAGAGGGATGAAAAAGTTTCTGTACCCCCACTTCACCTTTAGGATGCTTTCTAGTCACAATGCACACGGGAAAACCCCTGCCAACTGACAACACACAGCAGCCTCCAGTAACCCAGGTTTGCCCACATAACTTTAATCTGTCCTGTGCCAGTTCAGCATCACACTCTGCAGTGGAGTTTCTCTATCTTTTGTAGGCTTGTCACACCTAATTTTTCACATGGTGTAAAATAAACTCTGTTAAGGCATATCTTAACCTTAGCAATTAGGGGGCATAACAAAAAGGAAAACCAAAACGCTGTTTTCCAAGTGGGAAGAGGATGACACCTACTCATAAAACGTTGTTTGAAAGCTTAGCAGATTTGGTCTGCATAATTCAAACTAATATCTACAGTCAGTGAGGTTTCCTAAAAGGGGTGGATAAATTAGAGAGGGAGCAGGCATGAGAGTCTGGATATTTTTATTCATACCCTGGCAACCTTTTGGAAAGCAGTAATCTGATGGAGCACCACAGGAGATCTTGTGAAGAGAGTTGAGCAGGTGCACTAGTAAGGTTAAAGAAGGTGGAGAAAAGTGTCAAATAGCTAAAGTTATTAAAGTAGCTAAAGCATCAGATTACATGCAGAGGTATTTTCAGGAGTGTCAGGAGACCTCATTCATTTTAATCACAACCAAGTCTGGCAATGTGTGAGTGCATTGTGACTGTCTGCTGTGTAATGCCTTTGAAGGTCAGGCTTGAAGACGCTGAAGAAAATGCCTATAAGTGATGAACTGCTTGTCTTTTAATGCCTGTTGAGACTTCACTGTTAGTAAGTTTTGGAAACTTTTTTTTCTCTATACTTATTCTGCTTAGTTTTATTTCTACTTCATTGTTTTTAGTCATATATCTTAGTACAGTCTTCTTGAGCCCTGATGATCTGTCACAGTATCTTCATAAGGTAGTGAAAGATAAGACAGATGCAAGATGAATGGTGAAAAGGGGCTCCCAGGTGTGGGTGCAAGGACAGGAGCTGGCAGTAGGTCCTACAGGGACCCATGTCTTCACTACAATGCAAGTGGGATGCTGGTACCCGCTGGTCTCCTTCCTCCCGCCAGAGACTGGGTCATCCCAGCAACCTGCAGGAAAGCTCAGCCTTATTGCCAGCACATCACAAAAATTTGTTTTCTTTCTTTCTTCCTTCCTTTCTTTCTTTCTTCCTCTCTCTCTTTCTCTTTCTTTCTTTCTTTTTCTTTCTTTCTTTCTTTCTTTTTCTTTCTTTCTTTCTTTCTTTTTCTTTCTTTCTTTCTTTCTTTCTTT